CATCGACTGTCATTACCTTTTTATATATGTCTTTCCTCTATTTCTTCTGTGATCATTTCAAAAACTGTCCGTGAAGCTTTAGCCCATCCTGGTTGGCGTCAGGCCATGTTAGATGAACTAAGTGCTCTTCATAATAGTGGAACTTGGGAATTGGTCCCGTTACCGTCTGAGAAATCTGTTGTTGGTTGCAGGTGGGTGTTTGCTATCAAAGTTGGATCTGATGGTACTATTGATCGCCTCAAAGCTCGTCTTGTGGCCAAAGGTTATACTCAAATTTTTGGGTTGGATTATGGAGATACCTTTTCCCCTGTGGCAAAGATGGCTTCTGTTCGTTTGTTTATCGCCATGGCTGCTCTTCAACAATGGCTTCTTTATCAACTGGATGTTAAAAATGCTTTTCTCAATGGTGATTTGCAAGAAGAAATATATATGGAGCAACCTCTTGGGTTTGTTGCTCAGGGGGAGTCTTCTGGGATGGTATGTCATCTTCGCAAATCCCTATATGGCCTAAAACAGTCTCCTAGGGCTTGGTTTGGAAAGTTTAGCAAGGTTGTTCAACAATTTGGTATGACTCGGTGTGAATCAGATCATTCTGTCTTTTATCGACACTGGAGTGCTTGATGTGTTTACTTGATAGTATATGTTGATGACATCGTTCTTACAGGTAGTGACAACCATGACATCTCTCAGTTGAAACAACATCTTTGTCACCATTTTCAGACCAAAGATCTTGGCAAACTTAGATATTTCTTGGGTATTGAGGTGGCACAGTCCAATGATGGTATTGTTATATCTCAGAGGAAGTATGTCATAGATATTTTGGAAGAAACTGGGTTGATGAGTTCAAAGTCTGTTGCCATGGATCCCAATACTAAACTTCTACCAAATCAGGGGGAGCCTATATCTGATCCTGAGCAATATAGAAGATTGGTTGGAAAATTGAATTATCTTACAGTTACTCGTCCTGACATTTCCTTTGCAGTCAGTGTGGTAAGTCAATTTCTTAATTCACCATGTGAAGATCATTGGAATGCAGTCATTCGTATCTTGAAGTATATTAACGGATCTCCTGGAAAAGGATTGTTATATGGTTCTAATAAACATATAAGAGTTGTTTGCTACTCAGATGCTGATTGGGCAGGATCTCCTTCAGATAGAAGATCTACATCTGGATATTGTGTCTCCATTGGTGGTAACTTGATCTCATGGAAAAGTAAGAAACAAAGTGTTGTGGCAAGATCCAGTGCAGAAGCAGAATATAGAGCTATGGCCTTAGCTTCTTGTGAACTTGTTTGGCTCAAGCAATTGCTTAGAGAGTTACAATTTGGAGATGTCACTCAAATGACACTTGTGTGTGACAATCAAGATGCTCTTCATATTAGTTCTAATCTTGTCTTTCATGAGAGGACCAAACATATTGAGATTGACTGTCATTTTATTCGAGAAAAGATTATGTCTGGAGATATCAAGACTGAGTTTGTTAACTCAAGTGATCAGTTAGCAGATATTTTTACTAAATCTTTACGGGGTCCTAGAATTGATTATATTTGTAACAAGCTTGGCACATACCGATTTGTATGCTCCAGCTTGAGGGGGAGTGTTAGATATTGTTTAGATATTATTTGATATTGTTAAGATATTGTTAGATATTGGTAACCACAATATCAAACAATATTTTCTATTTATTCTGTTACTTTCAGTTACTCTTTTAGTTGTATCTCTCTACTATAAATAGATCATCCTATATGTGATTTATACACAAGGGAAATTAATTTCAAACCCTATTTTTCTCTATATTCAACAACTATATATAATACTAAGATTTTATTATTTTTAAAATTAAATATTTTTTAATAATAATATATTTAGTAAATTTATTATAATATTATATGTGTAAACATAATAATTAAAAAATATTTTTCAGACAATCGAATACATTAAATAATGAATCTTAAGAATAATATATTTTAAAAGAAAAATTACTCAAAATCTATATGAATTTATTTATCCAAATAAATCTGTTTATTATTTATTAGTAGTTTTTCTTCTCTCTTTTCATAATTTTTTTTTTTTTTGTCCACTTCCTATCTTTCCTTATGTCTCTTATTTTTTTCTCTTTTCTCCTAATTATTTTCCTAATTAAACCACTATATTAAAATTTAATAAAAATATGTTAAAACAAATGTTTTAGAAACAACATTAAAACTAAAAGAATATTAATCAAATATTTAAAATTATAATGATAATAAATAATTTTATTTACAATGATATAAATAATTAATTTAAAATTATTTTATAATAATAAATAATTTCTAATTAAAAAGATCTCAAATATTTATAATTTAAATATATTTTTATTTAATAATTTAATCTAGTTATAATTAGGTTGATTTATGATAATTAATTAAATTAGGCATTTAAAAAAATTATTAAAAAAATATTTTTAAAAAAATATTTAATTTTTTCTTAATAATTATAGCATAACAATAATAATATTTATAACATCTCACATTTATCATATAATATTTTTCCTAAATAATATATTAAATTATAATATTTTTGGATCATTTAAATATTTTTATTTTTCAATAATAATAAAATACTCCTGTTATCAAATTTCAATATACTATTTTTAATTGTAGAATAAGATGGATGGAAAGAATAAAAAGAGGAAAAAGAAAAAAAAATTGAAGTAAATGCAGAGAGAGAAAAATTATTTCCCTTTATTAAAATTTGTATATCAACAATAAATTGATTTAGTTGGATAAATAATGTTAGAAAAATTTTATTTAAATAATTTTTATTTTTAAATATATTGTTTATAACATTGATTATACTTTAAAAGTTTTAAACTATGTTATATTTAATTAAAATTACTATAATATTAAGGGTAAATTTAAAATTGCATGAAAAATTATATTTGTGGCTGTGTAGAAATTTACTTTTAGAAATATTTGAATAAAATTGGTGTATGCAAATTAATATTTTTTTTATATGTTCTCATATCAAAAATAGAAATATAAAAATAAAACATAATTAATAAAATTAATTAATTAATATTTAAATTGAATCAAATCTAGTTTAGAATAGTCTATTTTATAAAATAATAATAATTTTAAAATAAAAATAAAATTCATAATTAATGTATTAATTTTGATGAGGTCATTTTAGTATGGAGTAAATTTTTTTAAAAAATTATGAAAAATTTGTTTAGAAATCAAATTACAATATATATATATTTTTTTCAAACTATGTGAAGGGCTAAGGCGATTGCCTTAGTGATCATTCTCTCTATAAGCTTATCATACTCATTTGATTTAGTTTAAGAGTCAATTTTTAGAAAAATAAATTATTTACTAATTATTTTTTATCAGTTGTAATATTTTTATTTTTTAATTATATTTATTATAGAGAGAAAAAATAATTTATTATTATCATTAAGAAAAAAATATTAAAATAATAATAATAATAATAATAATAATATTAGAAAAAGATTAATAAAAATAATAAAAATTAATATTTGTATTGATTTTTGTACCAAACCTTAAATTAAAATACCATCTTCCAGAAATACATATCCAATTACCATAAAAATATAAATACATTAGTGCCAAAAAACTGAACTTTTTTCCACTTATATAATGTTGGAACATTATAGTGTTCATTTTCTACGCTATAATGTTGCTATGACAATTTAAGGAAAAACTATGTGGAATACAACATGTTCATTCTTTTTTGGTTAAACATCATTGACATGATTTCTCAGGGTAACGTGCATGATTTTATTTTATTTTTTTAATTATCAAAATAGTAATTTTAAAAAAATTACAAATTTAGATAAATTACGTTAAATATATCTCTCATGTAAAAATAATAATAAAAAATAGTGATTTGTGCATGAACTCGCGGAGTTTCCAAAAAGAAATTAAAAAAAAAAATCAAATTATTCTCACATGTTTGAAATAGCAAAAGTGTGAGGTATTAAAAAGTAATAAAAATGCCAGCTTCATCCTATGCTGTCGAAAACTATAGTATTTCAAGACTGTATCATTTTAAGTACTTTTTTTTTTTATCATAAAAGAGCATAAGTTTAGGTCAAAAAGCTCAGACCATCATGCAGTCCCGCAGATAAATTCTGGATCTTTTGAGTTTTTTACATTTTTTATGTACGAATGTTGAAAACGAAACATGTATTTAAATGATAAAATATTATTTTAAAAGTAAAAGAATGGTCAAAGTCCTTGTTGTCAGACAAGGACTATTGTCATAAAAAAAATAGTTGATATTAGTTGGAAAAATCTATTATATAAGCTTATACCAATTAAAACAATAAGAACTGAGGTAAAGGGACCGTTAAAGGATTCATTAGTTAACGTTTTCAAAGTAAAAAGTGCCTATTTCTAACAATTGGGTCAAAAGTTGAGAGGTAGCTTGCATTTCACATTACTTCTTCTTCTGATGAATCTAAATAATTACAATACGACAACATAAACCTTTATGACTTTTGTCAATTAACTCTCCTCTTTCTTATTAGTTCCCTTTTGACAACACAAGTAATGGCTAAATTCATGCAAATTTGCTGCTTTGGCAAAATTAACTCAAACTGGCACTGTAAACAAGTAACACAAATCTTCATTGCAATAAAAAAAAAAAATGGATGCAAAATAAATAAGGATATTCAATTCATTTGAATTTTTATAAATCATAGCAACAGCCACCTTTGATATATGATGTTCATTTCCTTTCTCATGACTAAGGTTAGAGTCGCTTCAATTGCAAATAATAATAACATGAAAACTAAGGATATCAAATCCCAAGTCCCAACATATCCAAATCTACACTAACATTGCAATGAAAGTATGAAACTGCACGAGTAACATATGCATTCTGCAAACCATATGTTTAAACCCCAGTGTAAGTAACTGTGTCTGTATCTTTGTACCTTTCCTCCTCCCATGTAGCAAACCCAGTGCCAATATATAACTTATGCTTCAGGATGTTCAGCTTGCTCGAATTCTATCCAGCCAATCAATGCTCTTCCGTGGCCTCTCAAACTGAACATCAACACTTCTCCTGGATTTATCTTGGAACTCAATGCTTCTTGATTTATCATTGTACTCAACGCTTCTTCGCGACCTCTCCATCTGATCAAATTGGACTCTTATCTTTTCTAACTTTTCAGTATTATTGAATTTGAATTCATGAAATTTCATTCTATCTGTCCTATCAGTGCTTTTCCTTGGTTTTTCCCTCTGATCGGTACTCTTCCTTGGCGTTTCAAAGCAATCAGTACTTCCTCTGGATTGTTCAACCCTGTCTACACTTCTCCTGAAACTCACTCTTTGGGATGGTGGCTTTTCTACTGAGGATATGAATTTTCTGAGATGTCGTAGGTATTCAGGATAGAGTTCCAAATTACAGTGATTTCCTCCTTTGAGCCATAATGGTTCGTATTTCTGTTGACACAGCTCCCACAACTGCTTTCCATGAGAGCAATCAACAACCTCATCAGCAGTTCCCTGAGGAGAGTATTGGAATGTCGTGAGATTAGTAAAGCCACATGAAATGCTTTGTATCCAAAAATATGACTACAGAAAAACAATGTTTGCTAAGTTATCATATTCACCAGAAGTGCAATTTAAAAATGTTATATTGGCAAAAAAGGCTACAATGAACATATTTCTACTTCTTGTGTTAACTAGCTCGTGTCATTAAAAGTGTTGTTCTCCATTTATCAACCCATTTCATCACAAACATCAGCAGCAAAATGGCAGATACTAAATAGTAACACTCAAGTTGTTTGTACTCGAAGTGATTCTATTTGCCATTTGGAACACCAAACTAGCACACTAGGCACTGTCTTATGGGCTAAAACCATTATAGAAGTTGGTAATTGGATACCCGTAAAAGGCTTACAGAAACTACTGAAATCATGATGACAAAAAGATACTAAGTAGAAAATTCAACACAATAAGCAAGGAATACTTACATGAATTACTAGCACCGGACACTTAACCAATGGAATTTTATCAATGTTCTGTAAAACAATAATAGAACTAAGTTCAGATACATCACATGCATAATTTTGAAATTGAATGACATCAAGCAAACAGGAAATGAAAATTTTAACCTTATAAATGTCAAACCAGTATGTCCGTTTCACAGGGTACATGACCCTCAACCCTGATAGTATAGGACTGTGGAGAACAACAGCCCTTAGTCGGGGTAATCGGGAAGCAAGATCCAAAGTAGGACCACTTCCGACAGACTGGCCATAAAGGATGATGTCTTCCTGCTTAACACCATAGTTCTCTTCAAGATACTTATACGTAGCTTCAATGTCAGCATAAGTATTATGCTCACTTGGCTGTGAAAAATATCAAGATTAGTATTCCCATGATGCTTCTGCCTGCTGAGAACAACAGAATAAAATAAACCAGAACGAAGTGAATAGAGCAGATACCTTCCCTGATGACTGTCCATAGCCAGAGTAATCATATCTGCATATGTTGATACGATAAACTTGAAAACGTTAGTAACATACTAACATATAACTTTTAAGAATGATAAGCATGCATACATACTACTTCAAGTGCCCTTTTATCGTTTTCTTTAATTTTGGGGGTCCTTAAGATTAATTTTATCATGTGAAGGTCTATGAAGTACAGTCTCAAGCATGATTGCTGGCCATGTGGCCTCCTTATTTATGCCTCAATATGAGATCTCTTATGCAAAAAATTCTTTAACCGCATAAAAAAGCAACATTCAAAAGAAAAGCCAAGACTGCATATGTTGATCTATAACTTTTGGATGTTCAACTGAATCATGAACTAAATTAATCGACACAATTAACAATTTCATTGATTATTATTATTAAGGTGTTGCTGTAATCCCCGAATTTTTGATACACAATCACACCTTGCGGAATTGTAATCAAGTACATGATGCACCAATTAGGGAAGTTCAAAAACTAACAATCCAACCATATCAACCCAACTCAATATCACTTATGAGCAAAGGGATTTGCTAATACTAAAGCAAAACGTCTAAAACACAAGCTTTATTCCCACTGCAGATCAAAAACCACGAGCACTTCCTGCAGAACCCAAAAGAAATCCTTCGAGCATAATTACACATCAATTTCTTGAACAGGTAAAGCCCCGTACTACCAACTTCATATTCACTCACGTTCCCCCAAACTTCTGCCAAAGGTAAAGAAAACTCATCCGAAAGTAGAAGCAAAAATTAAAAAGGCCAGCTAAATTCAAAATTCTAACTTCACAGTCATCCCATTTAGCCGACATAATTTTTATTTTTTCACAAGTATCTCCTTCGACTAAAATCCAAGTTCAAACTACTATCGTGCACTAAATAAAGACACCTCGCACAGTGAAGATTCGCACTTTGGTTCTTTCAGTTATAGAAACTAGTCCCTTGTGCAAGGCTCAACCCCCAATTGGCATGACAAATTGGGTACAACAAAAATTGAAAACGATCGAGCACCAGACTCCGAAATTCACCTGATCTACTAAACATAATCACACAAAATGATAAACTTAGTCCACTAAGCAACCAGGTCCACACAAAGAAAAACCACAGGCATAAATTATCACAGCCCCAAATTCAAGTGGATAAGATTCAAGTTAAAACGTCATCTTTGACCAATGAACAACAAGCCCATCAACATCAACGAACCAGACCCGAATCAAGAATCCCAAACCCACAAACCCACCAAAAGAGAACTAGAGAAGAGTGAAGTAAATACCCGATGAGATTGACGCGGAGGTGGATGCTCAACTCGACAAAGAGCTCGTACATCTGACCAATATCGGCGGCATTACCGTGGGAATAAAGGACGGTGGACTTAGCAGTAGGGTGGCGAACATAGACCGCGACGATCTCCGTGCCGCGGCGGTTGGGGAAGCGGAGCACCTCCACGTTCTCGCGGTGAGGGAAGGGGTCCATGAGTAGCAGTCCCGTGGCCTCCTCCTTGACCAGCTTGTACGACGGCGGACTCGGAGGGAAGAACGCCAACTTCGCCGCCATTGAAGAAGTCACGCCCCCCATCTTCTGCTTCTTCCTTGGAAAATCTCACACACACAGTCACCCACTCGGTCACTTGCTTCTTTCGTTCCTCACATTCACCTTTTTGGTGTGAACTGAACCTGACCTCACTCACTCGCAGGGTTTTTATTTGTTTATTTTATTATTTATTAATTATTTTGGGGGGTAATTAATTAATTAGTTTTTGATTTGTTTAGGGGGGAAAATAACAGTGTTTGACGATGGAGGGAGTCGCAGTCTCAGCGTTTTTCTTGTATTATTATTATTATTATTCCTATTATTCATTCCTATTCCCATTCCTATCTATCTATTAATTACTTGTCTCTTATACAATTCCACGTGTTATCCTTTTGGCCTGGTGTTTTTTCTTCCTTACTTGTTCTGTTTCTATTATTTCCTTTTCCAAACAACCTTTTTTATTAGAGCATTTTTTATGGAAGTTTTTTATGTCTTCAAATTTATAAAATTACCATAAAACTTATATCAACAATAATTTTGCAATAGTTGACCGTGTAAAAAATATTTAATTAATTGTTAAAGAAAAGGTATTAAATATTTATAAAAGTGACAATAAAAAACTTTGAAAAATGGATTTTATTTTAGCATAATAGAAATGGTATTTTATTTAAGTTTTGAAATAAAAGTATAAATGGCACAGTGAACCATGAGAAAAGTAGAGGATAAACAAGAGTTGCATGGAGTGTTGGGTTAATGATGAAGAACTAAAAGGGGGGAATGAATTTTATAATGGGGGTGATGGTTAATTATTTGGTTGGGTGGAGACCAGTGGTGCAGAGAAGGAATGAGTAGTAGGGGAGGAAATTAAAGATGAAGAAGGGTGGAGTAAAAAAACAAAAAAGTGGAGAGTATCAATTAGTTAAATCATTTCATGGAGCAACAACAGGTTGTCCCATGTTCATGTCAAACTCAGGCCTGCTTCTCCATGTCCATCACCATGATTTCCTCCCAAGCAAGCACAAAAACTCAAAACCCTTTTTTGAACCAATGGGTCCTCACCACAGGAATGAATGTATCTCCTGTTTCAACCCACACTTGGTTTAGTCTGGTTCCTGTCTTTTTCCAAGGTCATGTACTACTGCTAACACATACCATAACATGTTACTTACTTAACCATTAATTCTTCGCAGGAAAGAATAGAATACCAATTTCTCTGTTTTTTTTCCTTCTATTTACTTGAATTAAGAAGAATCTTTGTTGGGAATTTTTCAACAAAGAACCTCGTTAAGGGTAACCATGGTCCATCAAAGCCTCCAATTGTCTTCAATCTCAGTATCCGAAGCCTCAAGGTTCGGACTTGGACCCCACCAATGTTTTCATTTTTCTGTTCCATTATGCCATGTTTAGGCTGTCACATGCAAAGATACAACCAAGCAAGGTATTAAGACAAACCAATAAAATTAATTAAAATAGTACTCAATCGAAGGATCGTTTTCCGACACACAATTAAATCAAATCAACCCAAGTTATGTCTCTACCTATCTTCACATCTTGAACTTGCGAAACTCTGCATCATTCGGTAATTTTTATTGCATCAAAAGGGTCATCATAATAATGCAAGTAGTTTGCATTTATTTTGACGTGTTGCAGAACTTTGGTGTGACACAAAAGTAAGGCTATGGTATAAAGACACACTACTGACTCTGGTGGTGTAGAAGGTGGTGCTTGCAGAGAGTTTCATTCATCGCATTGAGATAAGGAAATAGACTTTTTGCTTTTGCCAAGAAATGAGGCTTTGCGTGACTGACATGTGTATGCATTGATGTGATGCAGAGAGTCAAAATATCTTATTTTTTTCTTGTTTAATCTCCCACACATGTAAAATGAATAAATTGATTATTTATTCTTTCCATTTGTAAGAGTAATAAATTTAATTGGTGGTTTTTAAATTACTTTGTTATTTTATTGGCTAATATTCAATAACTTTTTGAAAACTAAACTTGAAAACAAATGCACCATAAATGAATATTTAAATCGTTTTATTATTTTTCATTAAACGTACTTTTAAAGATTAAAAGAAAAATGAATTTTTATACATAACTTATGTTCAAATCTTAAATACTTCAGTGGCGGTAATATGTTACGATCATGTTTAGAATTTATATTTTTCTAACTTTTCAAGTGTAAAATTGTTATTAAAATTTAATCATCAAGTAATTTCAACATCGCATGGTACAATGGTAAGTCAATCCATAAATATAGTGTAATAATTGATATTATATTCAATTACAAAAAATATTTTAAAAATGTGGTTTTAATAATGATAATATTTATTAGAAATACTTGTTATATTATAATCTCTAATTTTTTATGTTATTTTAAGGGAAAAAAATTAGAGAAATGACAATTGAGAAAAATATATAAAGATAAAAATAACATGTTTATTTATTGATAGAGTAATGTTAAAAAAAATTAAAAACTCATCTCTTCTTGTACATAATTGTAATATATCATCAAGCAATAATAAAAAGAACATATAAAATAATGGGATGTGCTAAGAGAAAAAAAAAAAACAATCAAGGATCAAATTTGAATGTGGAAAAACTATTAAAGTAAAGATTTTTTTTTGTAATTTAGTTCAATAAACGTTTCATCTAATATAATAATTAGTATGTGAATCACAAGTTATATTAGAAAGTCCATAAATAAATAAATAAATCTTCTTTTTAGATAAGGTGGAAAGAAAAATAAAACAGCAATAATAATCAAATCAAATAATAGAAAGAAAAAAATATAGAATAATTAACAAAAAATTACTTTTTTTAGTTAGATGGATTACGTCTTGACATTATTTTCAAATTTTTTTCTATTTCTCTATTATCAAACCACTTGTTTTATTTTTTTCTCATTGAGGCTCTATCTCCTTCTCATGCTTCTTTTGCAAAACCTCTCTTAATTAAAAAAATGCATGATGAGCTTGTAAATCATAAAAAGCACACAAATCCCAATTTTATTTTATTTTTCTTTAACTCATGAGCCTAATAAATGGTAACCATGAGACAAATCTTCTTCATCACCAATTAATTCTGATCATAGTAAATTAAACCTATTTTTTTCTTTTTACAAATAACAAGGTTTTTAATAAAGTCTTTATCATTATATTGAAGTCATTCTTATGAATTTTCTCTCGTAATAATTGATTCATCTCTAATATATCATGTATTTCAATTATACCAAAACTTAATATATTTTGATCTTGAACAAAAAAATCAAGTTTTTTTTAGATGTATTACACTTTAACTATCATAATACAATTGTAATTCATAAAGAGAATATAAATTCCTATTTTTTTCTTTTTTCTTTAATTCATGAGCCCAATAAATGATGATCCATTAGACAAATCTTCCTCCCTATCGATTAATAGGGGTTAAAGTGAATGAAACTTTTTTTTCTCTTGTAAATAATAAATTGTTTAGTACAACTTTTGTCATCATATATAAGTCATTCTCATTTATATAAATCTTCTTCAATTTAATTATCTCATCTCTAACATATCATGTATCCAATAATATTAAACCTCAATATACTTTGATTTTGAACAAAAAAAAATCAAGTTTCTCTTGATATAATTGTACTTTGGTTATTAGAATACAAGTGGAGTGCAAGTGGAGCGCTAACGAACTTAGAATTTTATGATAAATATCTCTAATACTTTTTTGGTATACTTTTGTTGTGATAGTCACAATTTTCATTACAAGGATTTGTTTTACAAGACCTAAATCCTTTATTGTAAATATTTGTTGAGTTCTGTTTTGAAACTTTGAATTTTTCTCACGTATTAATCAAGAATTAATAAGTCATCTGTGTAGAGCAAGAGAATAATATTTTTTCCAAAAAAAATTCTTCACAAAAATAAAATAATTAGAAAAGGTTTTATCATACTTGTGATTGGAACGAAGAAATCAATTTTTGATTCCACTTCTTGTTTGAGTTCGTATATCTACAAATGAGTTTTTTTTTTTTTTTTTTACAATCAAAGCTTCAAGTTGTTATATATAAATATTTTTCTCCATGTCACCATGGAGAAATGTGTTCTTTACATCAAATTAGTGAACTTTTAAATTTAAACTACATTCTGATCATAGGTATATTTCTTCATAATCAAATCTTTTCGTTTAATAAAGTCTTTCATATCATAGGTAGACATTGGTTATGAGTTATTTTCTTCTAACACCCAATTATATTTTAGTGTTCTCTTGGATGGAGACACCTTCACCAAACTTAAATGTGTGGATCTCATGCGATGATTTCATCTCCTTTTACGTGACTTTGTACCACAACTTTTTTTATTCATGAAACATGTTTTTTTATAGCCTTTTTGCTCTCATCAATCAACAAAATAAACTTATGAGGGGAATATTTTTGTGAAGGATGACTAGCTAACAAATCTTCTCAACTAAAATTTCATAGGTGGTTTAGGAAAAAACAAATTTAATTGGTTCATTAACTAAGTCTTGGGCATCTCAATTACATTCTCCAAATTTACATTTTCCAATGCATTTACATGTCCCCCATGATCAAATCTAAATAATAACAATACAAGTAGCTTGTCATCTAACCAATCTTCACAATGATTAACTAATTTAGCATATTTTAAAAATAACTAAAGTGTTTTGACAATGAAGAATCATCATTGTATTTCAACTTTACTAGCCTCTTAATTAGGAATGTCTTGTGCAAAGCATTTCAAGACTAAAACATCTTACTCATTCTCTTCCAGGAGTGGTAAAATAAAGTCTCATAGGATACATGATCATAAACTAGTCTATCTCCCACAAATTTTTCTATTGGTTTAATACCTTTTTTTTTAATAGGATCATACATATATTTGCAAAAATAAATCTTCCATCCAAAACTTCCTGATTGGTAGATTCCAATTTAATCATGGTACCAACATCATCTCCCATCTTTAGAGTACAAGCAAAAGTCCCTAATCGAAACTTTGATACTAGTCGATGGAGAATATCATAAAAACAATAACAAAT